GTCTGTCGTGGTGAAGAAAGAGCTGAGTCAAAAAGCGAAGCTCTCGATTTACCGGTCGATCTACGTTCCTACCCTCATCTATGGTCATGAGCTTTGGGTCATGACCGAAAGAACGAGATCACGGATACAAGCGGCCGAAATGAGTTTCCTCCACAGGGTGGCTCGGGCATCTGGTTAGGATGCCTCCTGGACGCCTCCCTGGTGAGGTGTTCTGGGCACGTCCCACTGGGAGGAGGCCCAGAGGAAGACCCAGGACATGCTGGAGGGACTATTTTTCTCGGCTGGCCTGGGAACGCCTTGGGATTCCCCCGGACGAGCTTGCCCAAGTAGCTGGGGAGAGGGAAGTCTGGGTCTCTCTGCTTAGGCAGCTGCCCCGCGACCCGACCCCAGAAAAGCAGAAGACAATGGATGGACTTAAAAAAAGGACACAAATAAGTCTGTCTAATATTTAAAGGCAACGTGTTCCAAAGTTTTCACATAGTTTTTGGGATAATTAAAAGCACCTGGTCGGCTGATCTAAGGACCCGCAAAGGAAGATAAAACTGGAGTAAATCAGAGAGGTACAGTGTCTAAGCATCTAGACGAGTTGAAGTTGGCATCATTTGCAACATTTTGATGATAGGGTAAGAATTTTCTATAAACAAGATTCATCCATCTTTACCTGCTTCTCTAGTCCCAGTACCAGTCCCACCACAGGATTGCAATGGGACTGGTACCTACGGTATCTCCAGCGGTCTGGGGGTGAAAGTTCTGGACAGGTTGCCAGTCCAGCAAAGGGCAACACAGAGACACAGAAGACAAACAATGATGCATGGACACACACCTAAGTGTGCTTACAAGAGTAATTTTGCTGACCATGTCTATCCTTTTATTATCACAGAATACCCATCCTCTAATACTTACTTCCAGCAGGATAGTGCACCATGTTACAAAGCTCAAATCATTTAAACTGGTAAACTGGTAAATATGTCAATGGGTTCATACTTGGTTCATACACAAACGAAGGCTTCCACAGTCACCACATCTTTATCCAATAGATTGTCTTTGGGATGTGGTGAAGCAGCATACAGCAGACAAATCTGCATTAAAGCAGTTCTGAAGACAAAAGGGGATCATAACCAGTTCTGGCAAGGTGTAGTTAATAGAGGCTGGGAGGTGTACTTGTATTTTTAACTTTTATTGAGATATTTCCTAATATTTTTTCTGCTTTGCTGACATTAGCTATGTTTAATGGAACCAATGCAAGATAAATGGATTAAGGTCATAACAAGCTAATCATAGCTTTGATTAGATTTGTCCAAATTTTGCCTTGAACTGTACATCCAAACAGTAAGGCCAAGACTGGTGTGGTATATGGGACACTCAGTATATGTTTTTGGACATCAAGATGAACAAAAAAGCTTTTTTTATGTCCCATTACCCACCACTGCTCCCTTCAATAGCAGTTCTACTTACTCAAGGCTTCAGCCCAAGGGGCAAAAATACGCATATTAATTATTAAACTACCAAGGGAGAAAGAGGAGGAGTTGTAGCGTTGAAGGGTTGAAGGGCAATATGTGTATGTGTGTGTGTGTGTGTGTGTGTGTGTGTGTGTGGTTGTGTGTGTTTGTGTATGTGTGTGTGTGTACTTGTTATTGTTACCGTGGAGGGTCCCAACGCAGGGAGCCCACCAACAAAGTGGGGCTCTGTGTCTTTGTGGGTTCCAAAATCCTGGACCCCACATGGGAAACCACTCTAAAGNTGTGTGTGTGTGTGTGTGTGTGTGTGTGTGTGTGTGTGTGTGTGTGTGTGTGTGTGTGTGTGTGTGTGTGTGTGTGTGTGTGTGTGTGTGTGTGTGTGTGTGTGTATGTGTGTGTGCAGTGGGGGACACTATTATTCAATCCCCTGCTGATGTTATAAGATTGCATTTGCAAACAAAAAAAATAAGCTTTAATTTTCTGATGGTTTAATTTTAATGCTGCACAATAAAAAACACAACAACAATCATCAGGCCAAAGTTTAATGTGAACTTCAACATGAATTATTTAAATATTTCCTAATTTTAAAAATGATTATTGTTAAACCATTTATTGTGTAGTGTTTTTTGCAGCTCAATATCAAATACAAAATTTGTCTACAAAATGACAGTCAACAAAACATTGATGGTCAATTTAAAATCACTGTTTCACCCAACATGTTTTATCACAGGAAAGAACCAGAGAAAATCCAACCAGCCAATGGGGACATTCGCAAAGTAATGTATGCAAGGTTAGGTAGAGACCTATGAAAATGGTGAAAATAATTCCAAGACCGTATTCAATTATGGAAACATTATGTACACCCCATAGGTCAATAACTTGTAGAACTGCCATTTGGAACAGCCTAAAGTAATAATTTTCTGTGTAACATCCACATTTGCTCACATTGATGTGGAGAATTTTTGACTGGCATTTGAGTTTTGGAGATAATTGTTTATTTTCGTTGAGTTCTAGATTATATCGCAACACCTTGATTATGATCAGTGTCCTAATGTTAGTCTAATTTCATGCAAGGTAATCTGTCAACCAAGTGGTCTTACATTCAACTCTAGAATACCTTGGTATACATATATGTATATTTTTCATTCAGTGATAGAAACTTATCTAGTTTCTGTGACTGCAAAACAAACATAAGTCACCACTCTTCCACCACCATGTTTGACATTTGCCATGGGATCCTGGTACTAAATGTACTGTTTTTAATTTTTACCTGATAAGGAACTGAGCATTATGGGCACAAGTCTCAAATGTATGGGCAACAGTCTCTACTATTTCTCATCTGCCAAGAAGAAATTGTTCCAGAGGTCTTATAGTTCACTCAGACACAACTTTGCAAACTTTGCAAGACATGCTGCCATTTTTTAGAGATGATTTCTCTCTGCAACAACTCCAAACAAGCCAATCTTGTTCAGTTTTCATTAGTTCCACTGCCATAAACATGACAATTTTACATGCAAAATAAAGCTTGTAGAGTCTGTGATTGTGCTTCTAACATTTTAATTCAAGTGCATTTCTCTCAGCATTGCCCAGTCTTACCTTAGGGTGAATTTGCTTAAACATCCACTGCTGGGAAGATGTACAATAGTCTGAAGTGTTCTCAAATTTTGCTTAGGCTTTTTTACTGTATAATGATGAACTTTTACAATTAACAAGAATTCCAATTAGATTAGAATGGCGTCATAACCCACCCCAGATTAAGGGCAAGCAAGGTAGTTGCTGATGTATTTTAACGTTGACATTGTGGTAAAAAATACCCCTACGCTCCACACAAGGAGCATTTGATCAGCAAGACCTGGATGCTGCTTCGCCGCCTAAATCCAGTGGAAGCAGCAAAGATCTCCTTTTTTTGTATTTTGTATTGCATGACAGTGTTTTTTTCTATGGCTTTATCTGCTGTGATATAGAATATTGATAACCACACCATAAAGAAGTTGTTGATATTAGCATGTCAAGTTTTAAAATCTTTTATCATATCCGTTTATGCCATGCAAGTAAACTGATATAGAGTGACAGATTTTGCAAAGGTTTTTGAGACCCCCTGAGCTGCCAGTCAACTCCCACTTTATTTGCTTTCCTCCTCATTTTGTTCTCCCTCTGAGATGAACACTGAGTGTCTCTGACATCAAAGGCCTGTTTCAAACACCATGTTGCCCTCTGAATCAAAGTCAAAACTTTATGTGAAGGCCTCATGTCCATGCGGTGACATACTAGAGCAGTCGGTGACAGGAACTGAACATGACAAACACAGTGTGATCAAATGCCAGCGTATCTGTGACATGCTTTTCAACAAAATATTATGATGAAAATCCATAATGAACCTTTGACACTTACAATTATAACAGTATGACACCTTTCATGGGTGGTTCCATGTATAAACAAACAGAGGTCAAGAACTAGTGTTTAAGCAGTTTTAATGAGTACTGCCTCAGCAATGCTCTTTCCACCGAGATATATTTTTTATGTCAGATAAAAAAACTTGAACCCTACATCCTCAAAGACATTCAAAAAATCTCAAAATGACATTTGATAAAATAGTCATAATTCTTCAATGACTAAATACTTTACTTAATTAGATGGTCTTTAAAAGTGAATACATTTCTATAAAACTAATGAGATTATTGTGTTTATTTTAATCATTGTTTTTTACAATGAGTAACCTTACATTAGGATATGTAAGGTTTGATTTATACCTGTTGCTAATACCGATACCAGGAAAAACACTTAAGACCATTGTTCATTTTTGTGCTAGAGGTATGTAAATTGTAAATTAATGGGAAAACAAGATACCTAAAATTGTTTATAAGGATTTGATCTATGCAAATGTTTTAATTTTCTGTTAAGTTTGGATCATAATTTTTTGGTGATCACCTAATGTCAGATTCTGATTAGTTTCTGGTTGACTTTGTCAACTAAAATCTGGGTGTTCAATAGCACCATAAAAATGTTTTAAGACACAAAAATAACACAGTTTGTTAACAATGAAATATGTAGCATATATAACATGTTTTTTTAACATTAATAATTATATTCTAAGCAATGGCCATTATTCATTTACAACCAAACAAAAGAGAAATGGGAAGGCTGGCCCACCTCTAGTGACTTTGTGGATAAAGTACAGGCATGTTTTAACCCAAAATGCACCAGAAACAAACCCAAATAGTTTGTGTTAAAGTAAGACTACTTTTTCTTTGTCTACAGGCTTCATTGTTCAAAAGATATTTTCTATCTGCTGAGCCTGCTGTGCCATTTAGAGGGTAGTGAACATACAGTAAGAGGTATATATTGTCACTGAAAGTACATTGCACTGTTCTAATATATCTTATCTTAATTATATCTTCTGCCTAAATTTATGAACTTTGTAATGATGTTATTTATTTTTACTCATTTTTTATTATTTAAAATATCAGAATTTGCACATAATTCTATATTTTTTCTTTGTCTGATCACATCAGAAAAAAATTGGAGAAATGAAAGCACATGTGGGGCTGCACAGTGGTGCAGTTGGTAGCACTGTTTCCTTGCAGCAAAAAGGTCCTGGGTTCGATCCCGGCCTGGGGTCTTCTGGATTGAGTTTGCATGTTCTCCCCGTGCATGCGTGGTTTCTTTCTGGATATTCCGGCTTCCTCCCACAGTCCAAAAACATGACTGTTAGATTGATTGGTCCCTTTAAATTGCCCTTAAGTGTAAGTGGGTGTTTGCTAGTTGTTTGATAATAGCTAGTGGGAGACAGGCATCAGCTCCCCCACAACCCTGTATGGAAGAAGCGGGTGTAGAAAATGAAATGAAAGATGGATGGATAAATCAGATGTCATGATCAGTTACTCAGTACTTGAGCATTGATACCAAATACTCTTACTTTTTGCTTCTACTTGACTAAAAATATATTGAAGTAGTGCCACTCTAACTTGAGTACAATGTTCGGCTACGCTACCCACGTCTGTCCAGCACCAGCTTACCATTTTGATTATCAGCCATCATTGTTCAGGCAAGCCACTGCAAGAGACTAAGTCCTGTCCTACAGGGGCTGAACGACTGTGTATCTGCAGCACTGCCATGTGTAACTGTGTGCCAACATGAAAATAATAAAACAGCTCAATTTATATAGATATGATTCAATTACAATCAAATTAATACAGATGTGAATTGAAAAACAGGTGAAACGCTTTACACTGTACTGCACTTTGAAGTTGTAAGTGCACATTATGGTGATGTACTATGGGTAGAATATGCATCTCAATTTGATAGGGTATTTACTTGAAGGAATAACTGATATCCTTCCTTGAATATTGAGATGGCACTATTTGAAACATTAAAGGTACAAAAATTCAAATTACAAAAATTATAAAAACAAGAATTTATAGTTACACTTGCAAACCAATACATTACTTACTTTACCTTTTTTTCCCACCAAAGAAAAAAGGAGAGTTTTATTGGGAAATATTCATTGTTCATAGTCCGCAAGGGTTTAAAGTTGAATTACCTTTGTCATTTCAGTTTTGATCTGAATGTAGTTGGAGTGAATTATGACCTCTGAGGTCACCATACTTTAGAAATGTTTTACAATAGTAATTTAACTACAATCTTGACTTTTCTCATGTACATCTATTCATGCACAGTACTTGTGTGCACATAATAATGTGCACACAAGTACTGTGACAGATCAAAACCCCCTTGTGAGCTACATATATTAATTAGGTTAAAATTCTTTGTTTGTTGTCTTTATAAAATGAACTTCACTTGTCATGAGGTCTGCTAAGTTACAAAATATATATTTTTTAAAATACATATTAGAAACAGAGCTGATGTACTCTGTTTTTCAGCTGGCAGTGTCTGATATGAATGAAAACACCAAATGTTACAGGGGTAAACTAAACAGGGGGTCTACTTAACACCAGAACTCCCAGAATTCTAACTCTACTAGAACTCCCAAGCCCGTCAATTTGACGGCGAGCATTCTGGATGCGAGGCGGTGATGACGTAATCACATTACATTGGTCAGAATGCTAAAGGTTTTCTTGCACGCTATAAAATTATGGTTTTGACAAGAATTAATAATAGTATTTGATCAAAACCTATTAAGTTTTATTATTATTTATAAATAGTACTG